ATAAAATTAAAATAAATAATTCTTAAAAAAAATTTTTTTGGAGAGGTTTTTTTCTATAGGGCACTTGTGTGGGCCAGAAAGACAAAGAAAGACAAAGAGACACAAAGTGAGAAATCACCTCCGGGGGGCGGGGGTGGCCACACCTCAATCCCTTCTCCTCCATTCTTTCAGGATTTGGGGCATGCATGCACACCCGCTGGGCGTGAATTTAAGCCACTGGGGTCGGGACCGTGGCCATCAGGTTTGGGACTGCATGGGAGTCCAAGAACATAGCCATTACGCCAACTGCTGGTCTCACTTTAGAAAATATTTTTAAAAATAATAAATAAAATGATATTTGCCAAAGTGAAATTCAATGTGATTCTTATCAAAATACCAGTGACATTTTGCATAGAACTAGAAAAAATAATCATAAAATTTGTCTGGAATCACAAAAGACCCCATATCACCAAAGTAATACTATGCAAAAAGAATAAAGTTGAAGGCATCTCACTATCTAATTTCAAAATATATGTAACAAAGTCATAATAACCAAAACAGCATAGTACTGGTCCAAAACAGATACACAAAACAATGTAACAGAATTTTCAAACTCTAGGAAGAAACCTAACATCATATAACCAACTGATATTTGACAATTATCACAGAACAATTCAGTAGAGAAAAGACCGTTTTTTCAATTCAGTTGCTGAGAAAACTTGGTTATCCACTTGCAGAAGAGTAAGATTAGACCTCAATTTCTCACTATTTACAAACATTAACTCAAAATGGATTAAAAACTTTAATACAGGGGATCAGCAAGTGGTGTGATGGTTAAAGCGCTGGAGTCCCACATAGCTGACCACAGTTCAAGTTCTGAACCTTGTGGCTTGCTCTCTCACTTGATCCCTTTCTTTCTCTCTTTCTTTCTCTTATAAGTGCACATGCCCTATAAAAAATTTAAATAACAACAATAATAACAATAAAAATAAAATAAATAATTCTTAAAGAAAAAAAAAAAACTTTAACACAAAGTCCAAAACTTTAAAAACTACTTGAAGAAAATGCAAGGAAAACAATCAAGATATTGGAGTAGGCAAAGATTTCTTAAATAAGATCCTAAGGGACCAGCAGATGGCATAAGGATTATGTCGCTGGATTCCCACATAGTCAACCATAATTTCAGTCCTGGACCCGCTGCTTAAAACTCACCCTGGGAGCATGTGCGTGTGTGCCCAAAATCCAGAGAGGAGAATAGAGGAGAAGGGATTGTGGGTGGTCACCCTCCCCAGGGGGGGTGACTTCTTGCTGTCTCTCTTTGTCCGTCTTTGTCTTTTTTTGTCTCTCTGGCAAGCACACATGCCCTATAGCAAAAATCTCTCTAAAAAAGAAAAAATAATTTTTAAAAAATCCCTAGTGCACAGGTAACAAGATCAAAAATAGAAAAGTGGGGTTACATCAAGCACAGCAAATAAATGAAAAGATAATCTGTAGAATGTGAGACAGTATTTGCATACTATACTTCAGATAAGGATTGATAACCAAAATACATATGGAACTTAAACAGCTCATCTACAAAAAACTAATAATTCAATTAAAAGATGGGCAATTGATCTGAACAGACAACCCTCAAAGGAGGACATCCAAATGGCTACAAAGCATATGAAAAATGTTCAACATGTCTTATCATAAGGGAAATGCAAATCAAATCCATGATGAGATATCATCTCACCTCAGTCAGAACAGCTGTGATCAAAACAAAATGAAACAGAAAACAAACAAAGAATAACAAGTACTAGTGAGATTGCAGAGAAAAGGGAACCCTCTGCACTTCTGGTGGGGACATGAATTTATGCAGTAACCATAGAAAACTCTGTGGAGTTTTCTCAAAAAAGTAAAATAAATAAAAAATTGAACTACTGAATAACCTAGTTATCCCATCCTTGGATATTTCTTCAGAGGATAGAAACCTCTCTGTCAGAGAGATACTTGTATATTCATGTCTGTTGCAGCATTATTCACAATAGCCACAGTAAGGCATGGAATCAATGGAAGTATCCAACAACCAAAGAATAGATTAAGAAAATATGGCACATATGCACAAAGGAATATTACTTAACCATAAAAAAATCAATGATATCCTATCATTTGACATAAAGTGGACAAACCTACAAGATTTAATACCAAGCAAATTAAGCCAGGCTATGAAAGACAAACACTGTATATCCCTGCTTAACACATATCAAATGTCTGTACTCTATGGCAGGAACTGACAGACTCAGTGGCAGAGAAGGAGAGAGAGAAACAGATGCCAGAAACTGAATGGGGTGGGTAGGGATGGTGGGAGGGTTTGAGAGAAAATGATTGACACAAGAATACATGTAAACAAGTGGAATAGGTTGTGGAATTGTGTACCACAGCAGAGTAAAAAATGTCACTGACAATTCAATATGCATTTCAAAAGAAAATTAGAACTATTACAGAATGCGCACAACATAATGTAATGTTCAACATCAAATAACATGAATATGTCTATATCCTTGATTTGATTATTACACACTGAATGCTTCAAAAAACATATGGTACCTCACAAAGACATACAATGATTATATGTAAACCAGAAGTCATAATAAAATAAGAATGGAAATCAGAATATCAATAAGACAAAAGAGCAAGAATTAGATTTGTAATTAATAATTTATAAGTTATAATTTATAAGTTACTGTTAGGATGAGGTAGGTACTAGTATCCTCATCTTACAGATAAGGAACTGAGGTTCAGGGGAGGGTCTGTTTTACTATAAGAGCCCCCAGGGGGAACCAGCAGTTAGCGTAATGGCTATGTTGCTGGACTCCCACGTAGTTGACTGCGGTTCGCGTCCCGGACCCGGTGGCTTAAAACTCACGCCGGGCGCGTGTGCGCGCGTGCCCAAGATCCCGAGAGGAGAATGGAGGAGAAGGGATTGCGGCGTGACCAACCCCCTGGGGGTTGATTTCTCGCTTTCTGTCTCTATGTTTCTCTCTGTCTGTCTGGCGCGAGCGCACGCGCCCTATAGCAAAAAATCTCTCCAAAAAAAAAAAAAAAAAAAGAGCCCCCAGGTAGGAAGGAAGGATGAGATCTTCTAGCTTGATTCAGTGCATACTGTCAGCATTTTGAAGCTTGACTAAGATGAGACAAATGTAAGATATTAATAAAAATTCACTTTTAAAATTCTATATACTCACTGCTCTATTTTAAAAATATATTTATCTTAAATTATGCTATGCTAATTAGCTTTCCTATTTCCAGACAGTAATTTGTTATTGGGTGCTACTTTCTTCATTTAGATGCCACTACCAAATCCTAATTTAGTCTCATTCCTTTTAATAACATCAACAGAAATCTATGTCTTCTAATGTGTTTCATCAGTCATTACTTCAAAATTTGAGGGTCTAAATAGTGTCATGATCATGCCATTATATTAGTAGAATTCTGCCCTCCAGAAAGTCTAGCTTAACTCCGTTTTTAAGAATGGTCTTGAGGGACCAGCAGTTGGCATAATGGCTGTGTCGCTGGACTCCCACGTAGTCGCCCGTGCTTCAAGTCCCAGACCCGGTGGTTTAAACTCACACTGGGCTCATGTGCGTAAGTACCCAACAGGAGAATGGAGGGGAAAGGACTGTGGCGTGGCCATCCCCTCTGGGGGGTGATTTTTCACTGCCTCTCTGTCTTTCTGGTGACCTATAGGAAAAACCTCTCAAAAAAAAAAAGTACTTGAATATTTGGGCTCCTTACTTTGATGCTCTTTATCTCCTTTGATAAATGTCTACTTTATCCCACTTCCTTATTCACCTAGAGTCCTATGTTAGAAAAACCCCTTTCAGTATGAAGAACAGTTACAAATTGCTTTTCAGACCTATTGCCAACCATCTCTAATGTGTATTTCCTGTCTTCTCTTCCCCCACCCCCCACTCTCAGGCAGGTGGGTAAGAGCTGTGCTCTAATTTGAAAGCATTCAATAGTGGCTAAGCACCTACTATTTGTCAAATTACCAGGTAGTTCTCAGGATAAGAAGACGAATGGTCCTACTCATCCCCTGAAAAATCTTACATGAAGTGAAAGACACAGCTTCATCTACAGGGTAGATGGGGCCAGCAGGTGGCCTGTGGTTAAGGGTGTTGGACTCCCACATGGCTGACTACCCTTGGATCCTGGAGCTGGAGGCTTGCTTCCTCACTTTTTCCTATCTCTCTTGTATGCTCTGTTCCCCTCTAGTCAAATTTTTAAAATAAATAAAATTAAATAAAATAATTCTTTTTTAAAAAAATCTACACGGGTAGAAACAATCGATGATCACAAATTCCCATGGTTGGTGCCAGGAACATGGAAATTTGTGAAGGAAGTGTCCCAAATGTCCCTGTCACTTCTGTTTCACTTTTCACCCCCTACTCCTCTCCTAATTCTCAGCACACAATTATTTCAGAAGCTGCTTCTTGTTCTGTCTACACCAGATGCCTTGTGATTTGTCCTCTCGCTTAGTTCCTATTTACTGTGAAGACCAGTGACAACGCTGCCCCCACTTGCTTAAACTGAAAGTTATGAAGGGGAGAAGATGCACTGCTGAATGTCTGACTCCGCTTTCTCTCCAGTCTCCTTCCCCTTTTCGCTCCTCTTCCAAGTATACCCGGCAAAGGTTGGGTAAGCTCACTGCAAGAATTACGCAAATACCCGAAAGTAAGGGACCCATAGGATCAGAACCACGGCTTTTTGCTTTCTGCACCCCATCTGGGTGGCGGACTTGGCTAAACACCCCGCCCCGCGGGCATGCTGGGGTTCCAGCAGAGAGGCTGGGAACCCGATCCGCATTGACGCGTCACAAAAGGGCTGCGCTGGGAACCGCAGTAGCACCAAGTCCAGCCAGAGCTCCGCCACGACTGCGTCCTCTCCTTCAGCCGCATGGCACAGCCTGACCCCAAGACCCGAATCCCCTCTCCATGTGGCCACAAGCTCCGGCCAAGTAAGACAGCGCATCCTGCGGGTCTTTGGGGCGGGCTGAGGTCTTTCCCGGGAAACCCATCGTACTGAACAAATGGCGCTTGTCTTTGAAGACGTTGCTTCAGTCCCAGGACGGACTCCACTGAAGGAGAGACAGAGAGACTAACTTTGCCCCCTTTCCAACCTTTCCATACTCACGGCCAAGCGCTTCTCCTTAAAACGCAAGTGCTTTAAACACACAGCGAAATGCCTGGCTAGAAGGGGATGGGAAAGGATGGACTTGAGCCTTTCCAAGGGGAACAGAGCCAAACATAAAGATGTGCAGAAGTCAGGAAAGTTCTAAGGAGAGCAGGTTCTGTGTGAGTCCTCATCCCTATGCGGGTTCTGGGAACCAGCCAAGGGAGGGTGTGTGGGGGGGTGGGGGCGAGCTCAAAATGCGGGCCAAGCAGTCTGCAGAGACAAGGGCCCTCCACCTGTCTGTAGCAGAGGCTGGGAGCGCTGGCGTTCAGCTGCTGCTTCCAAGCTGGGCTGATTTTTCTTTCCAAGAAATTGTGTATTTAACAGATGTAGGACTTTGAATCCTAGTTCTGCATGCAGATGCAGGTTTACCGGCTCAGCTTTTCGTGTCTGCGGAGGGAGAGTCACTCTAGCTGTGAGCCCAATGGCAAGATTACTGTGTAGTCAGCTCCATCCAGGCCTTTCTTATAATAGCCTATTGCTGTTGTCTAGCTGGGGAATTGTGGTTCCGCGGTGGCCACAGAGCAGGGAGGCATTGTGAAAGAACAAATTTCCTAGGATTGTGTTCCGACAAGATGAATGAAAGGCATGTTTTCATTCCATGCGTGTTTTAAGCCAAGAATTAAAACAAAGATGAATGAAAGGCATGTTTTCATTCCATGAGTGCTTTTGTAAACCAAGAATTAAAACTGAAAATATTAATTAGTACAGAAAATATTGAACACGTTCAGTTTCTATATAATGACAACACGAGCAGTAGCAGCAGAGGAAGGAGAAATTCCTCAGGAAAATGTTGGAGTTTCTGAGATTTATCTTTCTAGGTTTGTATCCTCTGCCAGGGTGACCACATGCTGCCACAAGTCTTCAAGTGCTGAGTAAAGGCTCAGTGACTCTCTAATCTTTATCTGTAACTTGGACTTTCCTCCTAATTATCAGACCTAAAGGACTAACAGTTTCATTTGGATGGTGCAGTCTTCCAACTCAACATCTGCCAAATTATACCTTGTCCTCCTCAAACTGGACGTGGAGAGCTCGGGACGGTCCCCACTGCTCAAGGTAGAAGGGAAGGCAGTTCCTGGCCACCTCAGTGTGATCACCAGGTCTCTTTGGTTTGCCCTCCAAAGTGCTTCCCCTGAGTGAGTTTGATTCCCTGCCTTCATCCTTGGGTTTCTGATAGCCACTCTGTGCTACTCCAGCAAACTAAATCTGGCTGCTTCTATTCACAGTCAGTGAAACAAATCACCTTCCAAAAGCTCAGCATAAGTCACTGCGGAGTGGCCACAGCACGCCAGTCTCTGCCTCCCTCACCTTCTTCTCCCATGTCAAATCTACCTCTGCTTCTCTCTTATAAGAACGATTGTAATTACCTTCAGGGTTCCCAAGTGTAATCCAGGATGATTCCTTCATCTCAGATCCTTAAGTGCACGCACAAAGACCACTCTTCCAAATAAGTTCATATTCACAGATTCTGGGGTTTAGGATGTAAGTGTACCTCCTTGGGGACCATTACTGAGTACATTATAAGTGCTTTGCCTTTATCAACACCTTTAATCCTCAAAACAACACAAGGTCGAAATGATTAGCTACTATTAATACCTGCCTTATCTATCAGGTTATAGTGAGAATAAAACAATATATGTAAAATAAAACAATATATGTAAAACAATACTTCACAAAGTGTAACATAATATACAATGTAACACTCTTTTTTTTTTTTTTTTGAGAGATTTTCACTGTAGGGCGCGTGCACTCGCCAGACAGACAGAGACATAGAGACAGAAAGCGAGAAATCATCCCCCAGGGGGGATGGTCACGCCACAATCCCTTCTCCTCCATTCTCCTCTCGGGATCTTGGGCACGCACGCACACGCGCCTGGCGTGAGTTTTAAGCCACCGGGTCCGGGACACGAACCGCGGTCGACTACGTGGGAGTCCAGCGACATAGACATTACGCTACACTAACTGCTGGTTCCCTACAATGTAACACTCTTGAAGCTATATCATATATTTAATAATCATGACAACCCCAGTGGGTCATCAAGCTTTGCAGAATGAGACTTTAGGACATGGCAGTCAAAGACACTTCACGTCCTGCCATTAGCCATGTCTTCATTAGCCGCTTGCTTTAGTCACACTGGCCACTTGTCTGGTCTCGGACTCTCACGCCCCGTGCTACTTCCCCTGTACAAGGCCTCAGTCTTTGTCCTCTTGTGTTTCCCTGTCAGACTCCTACTAAATTTAACCCCAGGTCAGATGCCACCTCTTGTATGAAGTCCTTCCTGCACTCACCCTTGCTGCCACATCCTCTCGTTCAGCAGAAACAATCACACCTTTGTTTTGTTTTTGTTTTTGTTTTTGTTTTTGTTTTGAGAGATTTTTGCTATAGGTCAGGTGAGCTCATCAGAGAGACAGAAAGTGGGAAATTAACCCCAGAGAGACAGCCATGCTGCAATCCCTTCTCTTCCTTTCTCATCTCAGGATCTTGGGCATGTATGCACGTGCTCCTGCGGTGAGTTTTAAGCCACTGGGTCTGGGATTCAGACCACAATCAGCCATCTGGGAGCCCAACAACACTTGATAAGATTGTTCCTATTAGAGGCCTTGCTTAATTTCAAAATGACTGCAGTCTTGAACCTCAAGTTGGCCTGCCTCAAAACTATCAGGAAGGCAGAATCTCAAGAGAGATGGGCTTGCAGTGACAGAGAAAGACGCTGCTAGACTTTCCAACCCAAATGAAACGAAGCAGTGACTCACAGGAATCACACCAGAAAGACTTGTTTTTTAGAAATTTTTTTTGTTGTTTATAATTATTTATTTTATTTTATTTATTCATTCATTTTAATTTGACCAGAGAGAAACACACACACACAGAGGAAGGCACTGATGAGAAAGCAAGCCGCCAAGTCCGAGACTCAAACCATGGTCAGCCATGTGGAAGTGTCCAGTGCCTCAACCATCGTGCCACCTGCTGGTCCCCCAGAAACAGGAATTTGGAATATTGAGATTATAGACTTTTTTAACTTTTAAAATAATTATTTAATTTTATTTACTATTATTATTTAATCTGCTATAGGGCATGTGCACTCACCAGAGAGAAAGTGAGAAAGTAAGCCACTTACTTGAAGTCTAAAACTCTACCATAGTTGGCCAAGTGGGAGTCCAGCACCTTAACCGCCATGCCACCTTCTGGTCCCATGACTATAGACTTTTAAATAAACATTTCTGATAATGAAGAGAATTACTTCCAGACATATTTTGCTTTCACAAGTATGGTTAATGGAGGTTAAAAAAAAATCATAGAAATTACAGACCTGCTAGGAAGGATTGAAATAAGAAAAATTGTTAGACACCGAATTGCAGGGAAATGTCCTGAGAGTCATGTGTCCATCTGATCTGACAGTCATCCAGCAGGAGGTAGTGGTGGTGGTTCAGATTAGGGAGTAAAGGGAGAACCAAATACACACTAAGCTAAGGTAAGGCAAGAAGAGGGAAGCCCTGTGGCCTCAGGGCCTGGAGGCAGCTAGGCCTTTGGCTCCTATTGCTGCAGACACCTGACATAGGCACTTAGCAATCCCTGGCTGCCAGCTGCTCGCCCCAGTCTGTCCTCAGACAGGGAAAGGCCGTAGGCTCAGTGAGGCAGGCACATCTTGCTCACCCATGTGGCTGACTGGGAAGTGCTGCTAGGGTACTCTTCTGCCAGGGATTATAAAGCATATCTGGCCTAACAGGAAAGTATTCTGGGTCAGGTGAGCATTGTCCCACTGAGGAAAAAGAGGGCAAAGTGATGGTGGGTGTCTGTAGAGAATCCCTCCTGATCCTTTCAAAAGTCTAACTCAGAGGCTGAACGCAGGTTAAAGAAAGCTTAGGGAGGCCAGCAGCTGGCGTGGTGGTTAAGGGTGCTGGACTGCCACATGGCTGACTGTGGTTCAAGTCCCAGACCTGGCAGCTTGCTTTCTATTTCTCTGTCCCTCTCTGGTCAAATTTAAGTAAATAAAGTTAAATAATATAATTCTTTTTAAAAAAGGTTTAGGAGCACCATGCCTCATAGTTTCTTCCCTCTTATTCTCCACACTTGAAAACTTTTTTTAAAGAATATTTAATTCTGCTATTGGGATAAAATTCTTTAAAGCATAAGTGATTCCCTCTAAAACAGGACTATGAAAAGAGAGTGTCACCTCTAGTGAAGCAGGGTTAGAGTAGACACAGAGAGCCATGGAAGCAAAGGTCCAGAATGGGACACACAAGGCACGCAGGCCAGTTCTCTGACCGGAGAGGCTTCTAGACGGAGATGAAACCTGACCCACCGAGAAGACAGAAGGGAACAATCTCAGGTGAGCAGATCTGGCTGCCTGGCCGCATCTGTGGAATTAAAATTAAAAACAAGACCTGGTTGGGAGAGATGAGGAGATAAACATTAAGAAGTTCACAGAGACAAAGGAGAAAGTTTACAGAGGACGAAAACCCTACATGTTTCTCCAGAGGGCTCAAATACTAGGCAGTGACATGTAACTTTTAAGATTGTTGGAAAGATGAAGAAAAATACTTTGTAGCAATTAATTTTTTTCCTTTTCTCATGACAGAGTGCATCCATGCATGAGAGAGCGAGAGAAAGAGACCTAGAGAGAGAGACAGGGAGAGAGGAGCACCCTTTCCAGGGTCTAGTCATACCATGATCCCCTTCCTCCACCTCTCTAGCCCATTGGATCCTGGGGGCGTGTGTGCTCCCCAGGAAGACAGAGAAAGACAGAGAGACAGAAAGTGAGAAATCACCCCCCAGGGGTGATTTCATTCTCCTCTCGGGATCTTGGGCACGCACGCACATGCGCCTGGCATGAGTCTAAGCCACTGGGTCCAAGACTCGAACCACAGTCGACTACATGGGAGTATACAACGACATAACCATTATGCCAACTGCTGGTCCCATTGGGCAAGGGATTCTAACTGCAGTTGCCACGTGGGATTTGACTTCTCTTAGCAGCTTCACTGCTGTGTGAGCCAGCCCATTAGAGCAATTGTAATAGGATACACAAGTGGGAAAAAATACCGGCAATAGAGTGGGTAGGGACGAGGCCCAGCACTGTTTATTCAGCAATTAGAGACATTTCAACTCGTGTTCTTGCAAAATGTAAAAAGCAACAGCTAAGTGTTCAGGTATAAAGAATGAGAAAATGATTGAAATTTACATTAAACCATATATCTCCAAGAAGTTGGTGGTACTTTGATGACCGTGGGAGGTTAGGGTAGGCAAATGTGTAGGCAGCACAGTTATTGTTGCTGGGGTCTACCTAATGGTCAGTTCTCCTTGGCTTCCTTCTGGAGCCATCAATAGCAGGTGCTATAGGTAACCTCTCCATCCTCTGAATCACTTTCTTGGTCTGACTTTACACCTGCCACATGTTCCTGGTCTTCTCTTCACCTCACTGACTTTTTCGGCCCTTCCCTGGCTGCTCCTGCTTTGACATTGGAGTGTCCCAGGCTTCCGCCTTGGGACTTCTCCTCTATGTCCACCTCCTCCGTTGTTTATCTCAACCACTCTTACAGCTTTAAATAGCATCTGTGCTGCTGTTAGGAAGAGTGAATTAGAGCTGCACTAGAAGAGTTGGAGGATTTATCCAGAACATCATTAGTAACAAATAGAAGAAAGTGTCATATGAGCCCATTTTTATAAAGCGAAGTGGCAGAAACTAACTCAGTGTGTCTGTGTATTCAGTTATGTACTGTTTACATAAGCCGGGGTGTGACTGCATCCACATGTGTGCAAGTATGGAAAGACAGAAACACAATGATTAATATGAACTCCTTGGAAGGCTAGATGGGGGGGAAATGATGACAAGAGTGAAGTACAGGAAGGAAAAAGGAAGGTCCAGGGTAAAACTTGACACACCTGACAGGGTTCCCTGTGTGTAAAAGCACTCCATGTGTGTCTAGGTGTATCTGATCAAATTCATGGTAACTTGGTCAGTAAAACATAGTAATGGGTCTCTTAGCTGATAGTGTTTCAAATGAGCTACTTTCTTCTTTATATTTTTTGTATAGTTTGAATTCTTTAAAATCACATGTATGAATGGATGCTCAGGAAAAATAATAGACCTGTTTTGTTTTATTTTGGAAGGAAATCAAGGTAATTCAGTTGAGTTTCCCCCTCTTTGAGATTAGAGACCATACATTTGGCTGTTCTTCCTTCAGACTCTAAAGTTAAACTACTATCCAAAATGTTTTTTTCTCTTGCAAAATTAAATTGTTAAAACATCATTTAATCAAAATACTCAGATTTGTTACATTTAAATGTTTTATGGGGATCAGCATAATGATTACATTGCTGGACTCCCAAGTAGCTGAGTCTTGGACCTAGCAGCTTGAAACTCATATCAGGCACGTGTGTGTGCATGCACAAAATCCCAAGAGGAGAAAAGAGGAGAAGGGATTGCACCATGGCCATGCTCCCTGGTGGGGGGTGACTTCTCGTTTTCTGTCTCTCTCTGTGTCTCTCTGGCAAGTGCATTAGCCCTATAGCAAAAATCTCTCTCTTTAAACAAAAAACCCTGCCTTATAGGCTGGCCCTGTACCGTGGCCATTAAGTGCTGTGGATTGAAAACTAGATGCCAACGGCCAACCAGAGTTTGAATCGTGGCCCCAGTGGCTTGTAAAACATACCGGGCACATGTACATGCATGCCTCAAATCTAATGGGATGGAGAAATGGAAGGGCATTGCAGTGTGACCACTCTCCATTGAGTTCTTTCTGTCTGCCTGTCTGTCTGTCTGTCTTTGGTGAGTGTATACGCCCTCTGGCAATTAGAAAGAAATAAACCAAACTGCTATATTGTATTTTCAGCAGGTGACACTAACTGGGATTCCTATGCTACCACGATGAAGACTGCATTCACACCAAAAACAGCGGCAGTGCGGGCTTTAGTTCGGTAGGTCCCAAATGATATATATTTTTTAACCAGCTCAATTGTCTTTTATTATTCAGCATCCAAAAGAAATAGAGTAATTAAAGAAGGCTTATAGAACCAGACTCAGGTAGGGACTACTGCATGCACAGCTCTTCTGCCTCAAACAGTATCCAAACCTACGGGGAAACAGAAACTCACCATGCCGGTTCTTCATGTTCGCAATAGGCCCAGTACATGGGTTAATGGGATTGTGCTACCTAAACAGTATGAACTGATTTTATTCCTCAATATGAGGGGTGTCTTCCAAATGTTTATAGAAAATGCTAATTGTGAGCAAACTATACATGGGTTTCAAAATATTTTTACACAAGAATAAATTCATACCTTTTTTGTGTGTATGCGGGGGCTTTGTTTTTGCCACAGAGCCCGTGTTCTCCTGGGAGAGAGACAGCGAGAGAACAAAAGAGAGAAAGTGAGAAATCACCCCCCCTAGGGGTAATGGCCCTGTGCAGCCTCTTCATTTTCTCCTTGGGATTTTGTGAATGTACGCACACAAACACACTGTGATTTTCTTTCTTGCTTGCATTCTTCCTTCCTTCCTTCCTTCCTTTCTTTCTTTTTTTTTGGTGGGGGGGAGAGGTTTTGGTTATAAGGTGTATGAGCTCACCAGAAAGACAGAGAGAGACAGAGAGAAAAAGTGAGAAATAACCCCTCAGGGGGAACGGCCATGGCATAGTCCCTTCTCCTCCATTCTCCTCCCAGGATCTTGGGCACGCACGCACATGCACCCTGCATGAGTTTGAGCCACTGGGTCTGGGACTTGGACCATGGTTGACTACTTGGGAATCCAGTAATGTAGCCATTACACCATCTGCTGATCCCACACACTGCGATTTCCAAACTGCTAGGTGTGGGACTTGAACTGTGGTCAGCCATGTAGGAGTTCAGCACTTGATCCACCATGCCAACTGCTGGCCCCTAATAAATTCATGCTTTAATTACACTTTTTCCATGGTCTTTGAAGTTCTGTTGTATACCATGTGTAGGCAATGACCAGTGAGCGAATGGATGAGTAGATACATTAATGGCTATGATTACTATTACTACACTAGCGTTGGAAGCTGAAAGATGGCCACAGTCCCCCTAGCCTTACCCCCGTACCCCCAGTTATTTTAATTGCGGCAGCAGCTTCTTCTCCAATCCCACCTGAGCTGAGGGCAGTGGTGGTTTCTACACATCTGTTGCCTTTTTAAGCTTATCAGTAGGTGACAGAGAGTGGGATTAGGGAAACCCCATCATCTTTTGCTACATCACTAGTAAGGCATAAAATCAGCATAGACAGTTGCCGGGTTTTGCTCTGTGAATGATTTCCATTAAAGAGAATCTTTTCATCCCATAAGTTCAAGTTATTGAGAAATCCAATGGAGTATTGGCAAAATCATGTCAGGCAGAAAGAGATTCTAACCTCAGCTCCCCGCTCTACCCTTATTATCTCTGCTGCCTTAGACAAGGTACAACCGTACGGGCTCAGTTTCACCATTGGTAAACTGCACTTGATGACACCTGCCTAGGTGGCTGTTCTGAGGACACAAAGCACTAGTCCAGTGACTAGCACAAAGAAGTAGCTCAGTATTTCTCATTCATTTCCTTCTAGCATTGCACATGAAGGATTTCCAAACGTGCAAAGTGACAAGGTCCCTGATTTCTGAGTTACTGACTACCCCACTGGTCCTATTACCTCCCTTAACGGAAAACTTCATCATCTCACGGTCATGAGGATGCTGGCGTCACAGACATCACAGTTGTCTGAAGAAGAAACATTTGGATGAAAGATCAAAACAAATAGATACATAGGGAGTCTAAATCAGTGGTCTTCAAGTTCAAATCTTTTCGAAGTTCTCATAAAAATTTTAACATAATTTTTTTTTTGAGAGGTTTTTGCTATGGGGCACATGCACTCACCAGAAAGACAGAGAGAGACAGAGAAACAGAAAGCGAGAAGCCACCCCCACCACCACCCCCTCCGGGGGATGGCCATGCCACAATCCCTTCTGCTCCATTCTCCTCTCGGGATCTTGGGCACGCACGCACACGCACCTGGAGTAAGTTTAAGTCACCGGGTCTGGGATTCAAACTGCAGTCGACTACATGGGAATCCAGTTCATTACACCATCTGCTGGTCCCTCAACATAAATCTAAACAGTTGCAAATGATTAAACTTTCAGTCCATCTCAAATATTGACATTTTAAAATAAAACTTTAAAATACAGCCATCTCTAAATGCCACAGCAAATGAATACTCACAGTGCTCCTTTATTTATTTATTTATTTATTTGAGAGGTTTTTGTTTTGGTTTTTTTTCGCTATAGGGCGCGTGCGCTCGCCAGACAGAGAGAGAGAGACATAGAGACAGAAAGCGAGAAATCACCCCCCAGGGGGGATGGTCACGCCACAATCCCTTCTCCTCCATTCTCCTCTCGTGATCTTGGGCATGCACGCACACGCGCCCAGCGTGAGTTCTAAGCCACCGGGTCCGGGACGCGAACCGCGGTCGACTACCTGGGAGACCAGCGACATAGCCATTACTCTAACTGCTGGTTCCCAGTGCTCCTTTATTTTTATTGTTTATCTGTTTATTTCATGAATGAGAGAGTGAGGGGAGGATAGAGAAAGACACAGAGAGATAGGGACAGAGACAACTCCCCCAAAAGGGCTCTGTGCCCAACTTCAGGCAGCTCTGGATCATGGGCATGCATGTGCCCAGGGAAGTCCCTGAGCGTGAACCCCAAACATTGCCTGTGGGTCAATTTCTCAAAAAGTGCCTTTAACCACTGTCCCACCGGCACCAAGAACTTTTAAAAAAATACTCAAATGAACTTTTCTATCATTTATTTTAGTCCTGTTCCTTTCTGAACTTTTCTTCACCCTTCCTTTTCTCCATAGGATTTTTCCCTGTTGTAATATATTTTGTTTGAAAGTTGTCTATTAATCACTCTATTATACTTCTTTGTAACTATTTGTGTATATTAATTGAAATTAATTTTAAACATGTTATGCGACCTTAAGTACTGAATTATTGCAATTATTTTTTTAATACACAATTGCTCAAAGCGATAAAATTGTAACATTTGTAATATTACAAATGTTAATCGTTGCTAAATACAAAAAGAAAATTTTTTGGAACCTCATCTTAATGAGATAAATGGGCTGTTTTGTTTCTAATTAGTTCGTATATCCAGTTTCGAGGGTTGTTATTTTTAGAATGACACTGTGTTCAGTTTTATCGGTTCCTCTTTTAAAATTGATAGATGCTAGTGTTGAGAAACTTTGTTCTATAAATAAGCAGATGTGAGTGAAAGGAGTTTTAGTACAGCAGTGTCATTCAATACTCTGAACTCTTCCTGAGTTATATGCCAGAAATCACAAGGTGATTTTTACTGACCAGCTGGCTGACATCTTGGTTCGGTATTCCTTCAGTTTTACTGAAAGCAAGTAATAAAATAATTTTTCATCTGGTTATTGAGTTATTTCTTAGAGCAATTTCTGAGACATATACTGAAAAGGCAAGCTTAACAAATGACTACTAAATTACATCTGTTATTCACTCAGAGGCAACTTGTTTAATAGTATATACTCTAAAAAGACTTGGCAAATAGAAACAATAATTTTAATAAATATTTCTGATATACTTTCTTTTTTGGTACAGACTTTTGTTGTTACATATTTTAGATATATTTTTTATTAAAATCTTGGTGCTAAAGCTATACCTGATACAATTTATGCCATTTTTACCTAGTTGGTAAAATCAGTCCTTGTTATCAAACCAATGAGCAAAATTAGATTTATTTTCTTTCAAAATGAGATGTAACCACAGGTCAAATAAGTGTTAATATATGTTTTCAGTAATATTATGAAAACTACTTAAAAATAAATTATATAGTGAATATTTTAGGGAAGATTATTAAAAGTAGACAGAAGAGGGGAACCAGCAGTTAGTGAAAGGGCTATGTCGCTGAACTCCCATGTAATTGACTGTGATTCGAATCCCGGACCTGGTGGCTTAAACTCACGCCGGGTGCATGTGCGTGCATGCCCAAGATCCTGAGAGGAGAGTGGAGGAGAAGGGATTGTGGTGTGGCCATCCCCCCTGGGGGGTGATTTCTCGCTTTCTATCTCTCTGTCTCTCGCTGTCTTTCTGGCGAGCACACACGCCCTATAGCAAAAACCTTTCAAAAAAAAAAAAATAAAAGTAGACAAAAGAGAGGCCAGCAGGTGGTAGAGTGCTTTAGGCCTTGGACTCCCACATGGCCAAAAACTGTTGGACTCCCTGACCTGGTGGCTTGAAAATCACATGGGGAGCATGTGCATGCATGCCCAGAACCATGAGAGGAGAATGGAGGAGAAGGGATTGTGGTGTGTCCTATGGGGGAAGTGAGTTCTCACTTTAAGTCTCTGTCTCTCTAAGGTAAACACACATGCCCTATGGCAAAAAGATAAAATAAATAAAATAAGTATGAAAAGATTCAGGTCTAATCTGACTCGTTATAGTCAATAAAGTGTATAGCTCAAAATGTAAGTTATTTGTGAAGTGAGGTGTTTGATAAGAAAAATATAATGTTCCTCAGTTAAATATGTTATCATGTTTGTGTAATGTTGACTTGACTTCTGGGAATAAATAATCACATATAAAAACAGCAACAATTTTATTAGACAGTAAATTGAGCATTTACTATACATTTAATAAAAGACAGTCATATGTAGTTAAAATGAATTGATCTGGCAAGACTTCCTTTCATTTATTGTTAAATGTCTTACAACACAGAATAAAGACTGGCTGCAGTGGAGTAAATATTTCATCATGTGATTGGATTAAAAGAAGATTCAAATATGTTATTGAATTATGTACACAAAAACTGAAAAAAAAAGATTTTTCTGTATCACTTTTATCCAGTGAATGCTTAAAAACTTGGTAGTCCCAGAAGATATTCCAGTTATATTATCCTTAAAGCAATCAGCATCACCCATCTGCACTGCTTCATCTACTCTCTCACTTCCTTGCCAGTGAATGATACATCCTAGGGAGTAAGGGGAGGGGATGAAAAAATAGAAAAAAAATGCTTGTCTTTAAACACGTGAGGAAAGGAGTTATCTTAAACATTCTACATTCTCTGCTCTCCTCTCTGAGGCCTCTCATCTTCAAAGAGGGACAAACATTTTGTAATTTTTTTTTTTTTTTGGAGACTTTTTTTGTTATAGGGCGTGTGTGCTTGCCAGAAAGACAAAGAGAGACAGAGATAGAAAGCGAGAAATCACCCCCCGGGGGGATGGCCACGCCACAATCCCTTCTCCTCCATTCTCCTCTCAGGATCTTGGACACGCACGCACACAAGCCTGGCATGAGTTTAAGTCACTGGGTCCGGGACTCGAACCGCACTCAACTACATGGGAGTCCAAGCAACATAGCCATTACACCAACTGCTAGTCCCAGATCGTTATTCTTTTTTATTTCATGATAGGCCTCCTGTACTATTGTTAAGAACTATCCTGAGATACAAGATTATTTCTTTTCATGGGAACCTGGAAATTAAATTGTTTCTGCAAACAAGTCTTAAACCTGTCGATCTTTAAAATAAAACGTAACAAGTAAAATGATTTGGTGTGTACTGTTGCAAGGTTTGGCATTTTATCTCCCACTCTGATTTTATTATTTTTTTGCAGTCAAAAAGGCATCCGAAGATTAGGATACACATATTCACTTAGTGATCCTATTTCCAATCAGACACACTACAATGATGAGTATGTGTGGAAATCATGTGCTAATGATTTTATCAAAACTGGGACGTCAAGAGGAAATGGGAGCCATAAATCACACTTCAATCAAGTAAGACAATGTCTACATATCATATCTGTTGAATTTAATACAATCCATAGAAATGATCCTTTGAATATGTGGCAAAGATCCTTCGTCTTCTATAGTCCTGGGGTAAATGGTCCTTAGATTGTTTGCTGTCTACCTTTTCACATTTATTTCTAACTACTTCTCCATTCCCTCAGGATTTTTTAAAAGTAGAAATGAAATCCATATAATATAAAATTAAGCATTTTCATCTAAATAATACACTGGGATTTAATTCAATCGTGTTAATGTGAAATTACCACGTCTGTCTTGTTCCAAACGTTTTCATCATCCTAGAAGGAAACCTCATACCCATTAAGTAGTTTCCCTCTCTCTCCTGTCCCCAAACCCCGGCAACTGCCAATATGCTTTTGATCTCTATGTATTTATCTAGTCTGGATATTTTATAGGTGGAATCATACAATAGGTGACCTTTTGTGTCACGTTGTAGCAAATATCAGCACTTCGTTCCTTCACGTGGTTAAGTAATACAGTATTGAAGTACAGACAACAATTTCTTCATCCATGTATTTGTTGATGGACATTTAGGCTGTTTCTACTTTTTGAGTATTGTGACTAGTGCTGCAATGACCTAGCATGTACAAGTACGTGAGTTGGTATTACGTCTTGTGCACTCTCAGACCTACACGCCTGCTATTCTGTTGCTTCTATCTAGAATGCACTTTTTGGTCCACCAAGAAAAAGCCTATATTTTTTCAAGGCTCAGCTTAAAGAGAGCCTTCTCTGATTCTCTTCTACCCAGGATGGAAGTAATTGATCCTTCCTCTGTGTTTTCTTGGCACTGTGTACCCCTCTCTCATCATAAAAGACAATGCTCCACTGTGCTAAAGCATTTCATTTATAAGCCTGCCACGTGGGATGGAGCCACCTGCAATGGAGCCTCCCAGGATGGAGCCACCTGGTTGCATTTGATAGATAACAAAGTGGTAGGATGGACAAGATTCGATGACTAAAAGGATATGAAAGATAATGAAGAGAGAAGTATGATGGTCACATTTCTGACTTGGACAAAGAGGTGTATGCTGATGCTGTTTCTTGAGCTGGAACATGGTGGAGGAGTTGGTGGAGATGGCATATAGGAAAACGCAAGTTCATCTGAAGACATGTTGGTTGAGGATATGTCCAGCAGGCAGCTGAATATGCTAAAAACAGAGCTAAAAACAGAGGTCTGGTGCTCATCCGAAAGAGATAAACTGGAGATGTAGGACTTAAGAGTCATTAGAATCCATATACACACATCCCATTCAACTTAATTTCTCATGGTACCCATTCATTATAACCTTTTAACCTCAAACATTTTCCTTAAAAAAATTTAAGAGAGATTTTTGCTATAAGGCACATGAGATTGCCAGAAAGAGACAGAGAAACAGAAAGTGAGATATCATCCCCCCTCCAAGGTGGGGTGGGGGGGAGGCCACACCACAATCCCTTCTCCTCCATGCTCCTCTCAGGATCTTGGGCATGCGTGTACACACACCCAGGATGAATTTTAAGCCTACAGGTCCAGGACTTGAACTGACCGACTATGTGGGAGTCCAGCAAAATAACCATTACTCCATATGCTGGTCCTCTTCCTTAAAATTTTAAAATTTATGTAAAAGAATTGATTGCACTGTTATATTGTGTATGTGTATATATATGTATATACACATGCACATATATATGTATGTATGCATACATATACAAACACACAAGTGCATGCTTTTCCCTTCCTCTAAATACTGTTGAAGGCTCACACTCAATGAGAGCTAGCATGGCAAATTCTCCTGTCCTCAGCCAATGAGAGCCAGCATGGCAAACTGTCTTGTGTGCTTTCAGCCAATGAGAGATAGTGAGGCAGACAGGACTGACTGTATGCTCTCAGCCAATGAATGTTTGCTTGGCAGACTACAGACCCTATTAATCTAGGCATTGAGCAACAACAGCAGCTAACATCACACAAAGAGAAACCACTATAGATTATTTGCCTCTTACACTCTAGTCAAGGGATCTAACTTGTGCCTGAATCTCTGAGTCCAGCTGCCATTTTAAGAGTGGGGATAGAGAAACTAGTTAAACAGTAGTATGAGTGTGCAGTCAACAAAAGCCAGACAGTGGAAACTGCTGCACATCGAACAGCCTCTTCAATGGATATATTCTATTAGACAAATTCTAAGGGGAAGATGGGAATCAAGAGGTAACCTGCAGGCTTAAGACTTAAGAGACAAATTTGAGACAGTGAATACACATAACTGTTTTGAGGAATTTCAGTATAAAGAGAAATATCTTATGAACTAGAGGGAGAACTACAGGGATGAAGAGAGGATTTTGTTTTGTTTTGTTTTTAATAGGAGAAATTAGGGTGAACTTGGACACTAATAGCAGCCACCCAGCAGAGAGAGAGAAATTGAAGTTGTGAGAAGTGAGTATTGTGGGAGCAATATGCAAGAGTAGACTAATGAACTGAGATCTAGTGTCCAAGTGAGGCTGGGCCCAGCTAGGAACACGAGCTACTCCTGTCTGGGAACGCATATGTTAGGGCAGGTGCAGTGGCTAGGAGATGGCCTAGTGGGCTGTTGAGCTTCTCTGCTGGTGGCTTCAGTTTTCTTAGGGAAACCAAAAGCAAAGTCATGAGAGAAGGAAGATGGTGAGAGGGAATGGAAGTTTCAAGTTTTGCAATCATAAAGATCTCTTTGGGGGTGAAAGGAGAGATGCCTACCCTTTCTCTTGTCCTCAGGATGCTGCTGAGGCCTCTGCACATGAGGCAGTGTTTCTCTTTGCGGCTGCCTTAGGGAGGAAGCTGCTGTCTCTAATCCTTGGAAACTGTGACCAGAGGTAGAATCAACATGGGTTTTCTCTGATCTTGTCTGTAGGAGATTTCTGGGTGGAAGCACACCTCTTTGCAGTTTGCAATTACATCGTCTTGCTCTCAGTGTGCAACATCAAGAATGAACAAAATCCCTGTGCACAGTTTGGCAAAGCCCTGGCTTCTGTTGGTAGGCTTTCCACATACATGCAACTGCAACGTGGCAGTTGGGTACAAAGTTTCAAAAGACCATGTACATACAAACACTCAGCTTGTTGATTCCATTAGGTGTGCCTATGTGGATTTTCCTGAAAATTGTGTTTGCTTTGGTAGGACCTTTTTCAATGGACTCTACCTCCAAGTCAAGCAATGGCAACATCAAAGAATTGCCTCCCTTGGAATATCCCTGCTTCAATGGAAGAAGTTCAGAAGGCAATATCGAATCAGTTTATTTCCCTTACTAAGAGAGACTTCGTGGACATAGCAAAAGGTAAACATGCTCTTTATTCTCTTTTCCCTGGACACATGCTGGCACTGGAGCTGCAGTGGTTAACAGAATGCATGTGGTCTCTCCACTCAAGGAACTCGCATTTTAACATGGAAACAGGTAGTCTTACAAAAAACAAACAGAAATGATCAGCTATAAAAAGGTGCACGTGGTGAGAAATTTAGATTGCTACAGGTAAAAAATTGGACACCTAGCGTAAGTGAGGGTGGGAGGGGAGAGGCCAAAAAAGGCCTGAGGATGGAAAAGAATTGTCAGGTGAAGTCATCATAGGACAGTGTTGTTGCATAACTGTGAAGACCTACAAGAGTGTTTGGGGAACCACAAGAATGCCAGCATGAGTAGAGCAGTGTCTTGGGCAAGGGGAGGACTGAGAGAGGGACCAGGGTGGGCAGAGAGTTTTTTCTGGAAGGGTTCTATAAGTCCTGCTAAGGAGTTTGGAATTCATGGCAGGGACCCTTACAAGGTTTCTATTAGGGTAGTGACACAATTCAACTGTGGACTGTTGGAGCCTCACCCTTGCTCTAGGGTGAAGAGCAGAGGCAGCCAAGCCTGGCAGGAAGCCAGTAGGAGGCTGCTGAGCAGCCCAGAGGAGAGCACGGGCTTGAAGCAGTGGAGGCAGAAGCAGTCAGATGATATCAGTGCTCAGTAGATGACAAGCTGTTCAAGGGAGGACCTGTGACCTGCGGGTCACACTGTGTCACCAGCACCCACTCCAGTGCCTGGTTCTGGAGTGGGCAATAAAAAGAAATGTTAGCTCAACAAATAAACGAATAGTAGGGATGAGTGACTTTCAGACAATAGCAATGAGGAAGTAAAAGGAACAAGCATCTAACTGGAGCTCTGAGTAGATGGGATGCTGGTACCTTTCATAGACAATAATAGGGAAACCAGGGCCATTTTATGCTCTTCCTTGGGAGAAGGAAAAGGTCTAGCTCTTTCTTCATTCTGTTCCCTAGAAGAAAGCATGTTTTCCTCTAGGGTGTGGGAGTTCTGCTATACAGATTTCCCCTGTGAGAATCTAGATTCTCCCATGATTCACTTGGCTCTGCCCTTTGGGTTCTGTAGCTGGGAAAACTCTAGTCTGCCTTTCCATAATGTAGATAGAGATGACACCTTTGTCCTTTACCTTATTGCCATTTCTTAGGAGCCAAAAATGAATTCTACTTTTACAGACACTTTTTCCAGAAATGACGTATTTGTTGATAACAATGCAATTTTGTTCTGGCATATCGTTAGGAAATTTTAGTTCATTGGAAATTTATGAAAGTGAACTACAGATATTTTCAAACCCAAACAAAGAAACCTTGCCCTAAGTTACTGAGAAAACAACACTCCAAGCCTTGTGACAAGATAGCAGTCAGAGAACGTTTGTTCTCCCCCTCTTTGGTGACAACAGGATGACATACAACAAATATTTGAGGAAGGCCAGCAGCTTTGCGGGATCTGAATACAAACCGGAGAGCACCAAGGACCCTCATCCTCCTGAGACTCTGAGTTAAGAGAGGACAATAACAGATCTCTTAAGACCTATATGAGAGAGAAGGTGGAAACCTATACGAGGGAGAAGGTGGAAACCTGTGTCCCTCCCTGTTCCTGACCCAATAGGCCATCTATCCATGTGAGCTGTAGATCTTCCTTCCTCCTGAACAAGAACTCTACTTCTTCAGTTTTCTGGCCTTTCTTCGACATGATCGCTCCATCTCTAAAGTATTCATCTCAGCCTGACCACATACACACTGACATGAATATATCCCATCTAGTGTGTCATCCAGTGTATCCCAAATGAAACAAAGACAAGGGCTCTTCCTTGACCTTACACCTCCCTAGGGTTAGTAGCTAATTGTGCATTTCTCCGCTTTCTTTCACAAACTACAAACATTTTCTAAGCCATTAAGTGCTTCATAAATTAACATGTTTAATCTTTACAACAACCTATGAAATTATTACCTCCAATCAAAGATGAGGAATCCAAGGCTCAGAGAGGTTAAGCCACCTGCCTAACTAGTAACTGCTGGAGGGAGGATTTGAACCCAGTCTGGCTCCCCTTATTGCAACTATCTTCTGCACAGCTAAAATTCCTTTAAGGGTCAAGTTATACATGTTGCTTCCAATTCTTAACTTTGGTTTATATTTTTGGAAATTAAAATGTACTCTTATTAATGTATTGTATGCATATATGAAATAATTACCCAGTGTCTTATAAAGAAATAACATGAATCCCTTGACCCACCCTCTTAGACCCAGTCTTACCACTGGCAATCAACTTCAACCCCTTTTAACTGTTTCTTCTTATATTATCCTCATTTTTTTAAGTATTATGCTTCTACTACTGTTATTCTTGATTCATCAATTTTAGACAGTATTATTGACTTCCTGTTACAGTAGTTGAAGATTTGGCTCTCTTATAACTCTTTCTCACTTGGCCTCCATCCACCCTCTTAATAGAATTATATTCCAAACATTGGGTTGAATTCTAATGCTGTTTATATTATGAGGATATGATATATTGCGATTACATAATATGATGTAATTGTGCAAACATTTACTGCTGAGTCAGGTTGTATTTCATGATTGTTTCCTTTGTTTTATGCAGAGTTGATTTTTTTTCTCATGTGCTTAGTTTTTCTATATGCCTTCCAGTAATTTTTTAAAAAATATTTTATCATACACTTACCAAGATTTTTTTCCACAGTTTTAAGCTTTTAATTAGCTCTTGTATATTTCCTGGAGATCTTTTTTCTGACAACCTCCAACATTTTTTTCTAGTCTTAGACTGGTTACTCCTTATGTTTGCTGCCTTACTGTGCTTGGACTTTCATTTTTATCATTCTAGGAGATTCTTTGGTCTCACCCATGTGTTGAATTCCCTGCTTCCTGAGTTCATATCTTTCTCTTTATCATTCCCTCTCCATCGTTTTCCTGAAGCACATCTTCCAGTAGCTTTCTTTTTTCTTTTTATCTGAGAGGTTTTTGCTATAGGGTGCGTGCGCTTGCCAGACAGAGAGAGACAGAGAGATAGAAAGTGAGAAATCACCCCCCAGGGGGGATGGTCACACCACAATCCCTTCTCCTCCATTCTCCTCTCAGGATCTTGGGCACGCATGCACACGCGCTCGGCGTGAGTTTAAGCCACCAAGTCCGGGACTTGAACCGTGGTCGACTACATGGGAGTCCAGTGACATAGCCATTATGCCAACTGCTGGTTCCCTTCCAGTAGCTTTCTAAGAAAGGGTTCCTGAGAAGAACTTTTTGAGTGTATTACTGCAAATCTGAAAATGTCTTTCCTTCATTACACTTGTTTGGTTGTTTGGCTGGATATAGAATTCTAGGTTGGTAATCAGCTTCCCTCAGAATTATTATTCCAAATGTCTCCCATCATCCAGAATTTCTGTGAAGAAAACTGATGTTATTTTAACTCCTGATCCTTTTGAGTGTCTTTCCTTTGAAAACTCTTAAGATCTTCTCTTTAGTTCTAATATTCTGAAAATTTATAGTTATATGCTTTAGTGAAAGTCTTTTGTTGTTCATTATGTTAGGCATTCAGGGGTCCTTTCAATTGAGAGACCATTTCCTTCAGTTCTGGTATTTTTTCCCCCTTGCTTTGGTTCTTTACTTTTCTATTTTTGTCTGTTCTCTTCTGGTAGTTGCATTAACCCTGTAATTTTCTTACTTTTCCTCTTCCAGTAACTTTTCCTTACATTTCTTTTTCTGTGTAGTTGAAAAATTCCTTACATTTTAATCCAACTCTTCCAGTGAATTTTTTTATCTCAGTTCTCATATTTTTTAAATTTTTAAGCTCTCCTTCCTCTTGCTGATATTTTATTTTTAAAAAATAACAGCACATTCTCTACTTGTTATATAGATGTAGTCATTCTCTTATAAATTCTAGGATATTTATTATAAACTTGATGTTTAATGTTCTCATCTATTCTTTGCACTGTCTCTATTTTCTCTGTATCTCAATGGTCTAATAAAAATGTGCTTGTTTCATATTTATAAGAGATCAGATCCAGATTTACTATAATGCTAATAAGTGTCACTTCTATACGCTCTTCTTTTTCTTAAAGCAGGTGGGGAACCAGCGGTTGGCGTGATGGCTATGTCGCTGGACTCTCATGTAGTCGACCACAGTTCACGTCCCGGACCTGGTGGCTTAAAACTCACGCCGGGTGTGTGTGCGTGTGTGCCCAAGATCCTGAGAGGAGAATGGAGGAGAAGGGATTGCGGCGTGACCATCCCCCCTGGGGGGTAATTTCTCGCTTTCTGTCTCTCTGTCTCTCTCTGTCTGGCGAGCACATGTGTCCTATAGCGAAAATCTCTCCAAAAAAAAAAAAGCAGGTGCACCCAAAACATTAAGCCCCAAGTCTCACAAAACATACAAAGGATATACTCAGATATGATTTGAAACTGTATAGGGCTTTGTCAGCTGGTGCTTGACTTAGGTGATTGCATGACCAGGTTTCATTTGAGAGAAACCTTAAAGCCACTATTTGCAGATCAAAAGTCTCTCCAGAGAGATCAGCACTTGATTGCTGACATTGTGAGAGCAGGACTAGGACAAGGAGGGGTTGGGGTCCTCCTGGTTAGTGTGAAGACTTTCAGTGATCCGTCCTTTTCCATTCTAGCATCTTCCTCCATTCACCTTCTGCTGTGCCTGAAGTTCCTGAGTACGGTGTTTCTCTCTCTTTCTCTCTCTGTGTCTCTTTCTCAGAGAATAAACTTCTGGTTAGGAAGGAACAGTGATATGACCGCATGTCTTAAGAAGATGATCCAGAGAACCACTCTGTATCCAAGCGTTCAGCCAAGCCTCTGTTTTAGGCCCTGGGCCTCATTCTTTGCCTTTCACTGTACTTGTTATTTCTGAGTTTGAACCTGCTGTGATGTGATTTATTTCACTTCTTTGTTATTCCCTTCTTCATTCAGTTAGGTTTCAGCTTCCTCTACGTTGTTCATTTAGTTGCTGCATCTCTACCTCCAAAACA